ACAACAACAACATGGGTCAGATCCGACTCCACAGCGCTTAACAACAACATATTAACTGTACCACCCATGGACTCCTATGTGTTGTTATTGTGGCTATGTGCCTACTAGTTGGTTCTGACTAATAGTGACCCTGTATAGAGTTTCGAAGAGCAGCTGGTGGGTTTGAACTGCTGACCTTGTGATTCACAGTCCAGTGGTGATCCTACAGTGCCACACCCCAGTGCCACACCAGACGTCCTGTGGACTCCTATGTAGCAACAGATAACTCTTGTTGGTGGTCGTTTAGTGCCTTTGAGTCAATTCCCACTCATAGTGATCCTGTATAGGGTTTTGAGGAGTGGATGGTGGATTTGAACTGCCGACCTTGTGGTTAGCAGTCCAGTGCTTATCCTACAGCACCATATCAGGACTCCAATGGATAATATACAAATCCTTTTCCAATATGAATTTATTATATTACATTTTTAAAATGCAAACAGGCATAAACTCATGCTTATAATTTTACACAATTAAACCAGATTGACGAATTAAATATAATATAGGCAATATTTCCAAATAAAAATACTTTTAATAGCAGATTGTTTTGCTAAGACTATTTGCCACTTAAGAGGAAGTCTATTCCAGTACTTTTTTCTTTAGGTTTGTTTGAAGTGGCTTTTCTGTGGCTTTCAGCTTGTGGATCTTGTCTCTACAACTTGTGGATCTTTGTCCTAGGGTGGTATTTTCTTCCTTAGGAGCTTTGCATACGTTCTTCTCCCGTATCCCTACCTTCTCCCAGGTTCCATACCTTACTCTCAGCTTTCTACAAAACGCACGTTTGAAGTCTGCACGGATGAAGCTTTTTCCATCGCTATGTTCCGCGGGAGAAAGATGAGGCTTTCTGCTCCCGTAAAAATTTACAGCCTCGGAAACCCTGTACAGGGTAGCTATGAGTCGAAAGCGACTCCCTGGTACTTAACAACCACCACCTTAGTACTCCACAAGCTGGATACCCTGGGTGCCGTCTGTCTCTTTCATCCTAAATTCTTAGAGGACAGAATCGGGCAAAGAGCCAGGTACAAACTCCACACAACTAATTCATGATTCACAGACGAATCACTTGGTCTTTGTCACTTGGTCTTCTGCGTCCTGTTATTGGTGCCAAGAAAAAATCAGCAGGATGTCTTCTCCCACAGAATGGAAGCAGGCGAGCATTCGGTACAAGGAAGTTCTGTGTGATTTTTAGAGTCACTCGAATCTACTGAGATCTGAAGCTACCAGCAACCTTCTCCTCCGCAGGAGTTCCCTTGCTAGGCGTGGGTCGCTTCTAGGCGCCGCGTTGCGGCGCACTACTCCTCTTTCGCCGTTAGGTAGCAGTAGTCAGCTAGGGAAAACGCGCATACTCTGTAGGGGACTTCCGCTTAGCCTCCGCCATACCGGGTGACTGAAGCAACTGGCGTGGAATTATGGGAAATGTGGTTTCCAGGCATCAGAGTCACTGGCGCGCCCCCTGCCTGTGCCCAAAGCGGGACTTCAGCTCCCGGCCAACCAGCCGGCGCGAGACGAGACGCGAGAAAAGAGGGCGGGCCGAATCAGAGGTGGGCGGGGTTGGTGGGAAGGCATAAGGAAGGGGGCGGGGTTTCGTCCTGCCTAGCACCCGCTCCCAGGGATCCGAGAACCTTGAGGCGCGGGGCTGGAAACCGCGAGGAGGTTTTTATCGCGCTGGGAAGCCAGGGAGGGCGTGCTCAGAGTGACCCGTGGGCGTCGACCGCCGCCCTGCTTCGTCGGGCGCCCCTTCCCCTCCCAAGTCCCCTCCCTCCTGGTCGGGACGCAAGAGGCCGGCGCGTGGCGGGGGCGCGACGTGGGGCCGGCGGTGGCGGCCAATGCGAAACTGGCTGGTGCTGCTGTTCCCGTGTGTGCTCGGGGCCGCACTGCACCTTTGGTGGCGGCTGCGCTCCCCACCGTCCGCCCGCGCCCCAGGGGTGGGCTCCGCAGGTGAGGTCCTGGGCCGGGTGGAGGGAGGCCCGGCGGCAGCCGCTCGTGGCTTCCTGCCGCGGAACTCCGCCAGGAATTGCTGGAGGAGGTCTCAGACGAACAAATGATTCTTTTCATTCTGGGAACATTAAAATCAGGCGGACTTGAGGGCGTTGTTCTCGTCGCCCCTCCGCTTCCCGCCACTCTGTTCTTCCTTCACGCCCACAGGAGCCGTGGCCGCGACCGCAAGTCCTTGGCTTGTCCAGGCCTGGCCGCAGAGGTCCGGCTCCCGGGGCAGCCTCGTGTGCCCTTCAGCTTGCGGCTCTTTGTCCCGCCCTGGTTCGGGTTTAGCAAGTTTTCTCGCTCCTCCCCAAGTTGTTGGTCTTACTTGGTCAGGACTTCATTGTCTTAGTGCCGTGGTAAATGTTTTAGAAAATGGCTGGATTTGGCTTTTAAGGAATAACTTTGAACTACAAAAAAAGATATTGTTTAGTATGTCTGTTGAAATAAATCTAGACACGAAATAGGGCATGGCTGCTAGTGGAGTTGTTCCGGAGGTGTTTGGAGGAGTTTGGTTCATGCAGACTCATTCGCCAGGCGAATGAGTGAGTCTGCATGTAACTAACAAGTTCTTACACGATCCTTTCCGTTTGCTCTAAAATGTTTGTGTTCGCTGCGTAACCTGACAGAATGATTTGCCAAAGTGCGTACCCTGTGGATTTTGTTTTGTTTTTTAAATGGACTTCACCCTATGGCGTATCTTCTGCTTTCTGTAACTATACTGGGATTTTTTTTCTTACAAAGCTCCGCTCTTCCAAACAATTATTTGCAATTCAGCGTATAGGTCTGTGCCTTAGCTTGCCAGAAGAAAGTACTCAGCAATTCTCAGAACAGTCTCATTGTTATGGCTTGGGTATTTATTTCCACACCGATCTCCACAAATCATTTCCCATTACACCTGAATCAAATTAAACACTATTTAAATGATGTAATGAAAATACACTGTTTCGATGCATTTTACATGTTAATAGGTTGCAGCGGGGGGTTTGTTTTGCGTTGTTTGTAACGTGAGCTAAGAAAAGACTGCCTTAAAAGGTTTGTGTTTTATAGGTTTCTTTTTTATGATGAGTGAGTTCTAGTGGAAGCAGAGCATACTTAGGATATTTATGAGTTTAACAGCTCTTTGGGGTTCCATAAAACAAAATAAAAACCCTACCTTCAGGCTTAAAGCTTACTAGGAAATGATGCTCCCTCCTTTGTCATCCACCTCCCTTAATGTTTGGAGGATGTCTTTATCTGGTATCCAGTTCGATCAGGCTAGACGAAAGAAACGAAGAAGACGTTGGAAGGGAACATGGCTATAGTTGGAAAGGTCAGTACTAGTTCTGTAAACATAGATTCTGCATGGATATTGTGCATCTGGCCCAATAAAAAGTGGTGATGTGCCCTTGAGTCGGTTCCGACTCATAGTAATACCTGTAGAGGGTTTCCAAGGCTGTACATCTTTACGGGAGCAGAAAGCCTCATCTTTGTCCCGAGGAGCAGCTGGTAGTTTCACCTGCTGACTTTGAGGTTAGCAGCCCTACACTACCAGAGCTCCTTCAATAAGTAGGATTTGTTGTTGTTGTTGTTATGTGCCGTGGAGTCAGTTCCGACTCATAGCGACCCTGTACAGGGTTTCCGAGGCTGTAAATCGTTTAAGGGAGCAGAAAGCCTCGTCTTTATCCCCCGGATCGGATCGGCTGGTAGTTTCAAACTGCTGACCTTGAGGTTCACAGCCCAATTTGTAACCACTACGCTACCAGAGCTCCTTTAATAAGTAGGATATTGTCATCTAAATTTAACCTTACGGGACTCCTAACTTTCCTTTTTCACTTTGAATACTTTCAGAACTAGAAATGGTAGAAGCAGCTTGACGGCTAACTTCCCCAGCAGCTCCTCTTCCCATGGTGCGGTCACCATGTCTAAACTAAAATATTTGGGCAGTTTGCAATTTACATTGTAACCCTTACGTTTAAACCCTAAAGTGAGAGAAACTCTATTTGGTTCAAAGTTTTTTCCCTTGAACTACCGTTGAAGACTTGTTTTCTCTTTTCTCCCATTTCTTTCTGTCCTTGTTTAGTCTCATTAAGTCAAAGCAGTATTTTTTTAAAAGAGACTTAATCTTTCCTGACCGTTTTTAAAAGGCCTTTTTTCTTGCAGTTGATTCAGCAAATAATTGGGAGGCTTCTCTGTGGCAACTCCTGTTGTAGATGTGGAATTAGCAGGGGAGAGTAATCAAGATAAGATGAGGTTTTCTGCTCCTGTAAAGGTTTTCACAGTGGTTACTAATTGGGCTGCGAACCGCAAGGTCAGCAGTTTGAAACTACCAGCTGTTCTGCGGGAGAAAGATGAGGCTTTCTGCTCCCGTAAAGATTTACAGCCTCGGAAACCCTCTACAGGGTCGCTATGGATCGGAACCGACTCCATGGCACATAACAACAACAACAACAACAGACTTTCTCTCTGGAGAAGTAACTGTTGAATATGGACCTGCATGAAGTGAGTGAGGCAAGTCAGACTGAGCACCTGGAAGAGAAGCAACAGGTGAAATCTTTCCTCTTGTGAAAGATTTGGGGTGACAAGACGGGAAAAGTAGAGTAGGGGACAATCATTGGGCTAGAGTAGGGGACAATCATTGGGCTAGAGAAAATAGACAGGATATCTTGATTGTAGCATTGATTCTGGCTCATACCTTAAAGTTATTTTAAAAAATAATGTGATAAAAGAAAACTCTATTGAGTATTTGGAAAGGGGAAATGAGAAAATTTTGCAAGGAGCCTATCCATTCAAATGGAAACAGACATGAAGCAAGTAGAAGGCCAGAGATAAATTTAAACAGCTTTGTAAGTTTGCCTAGGACTGGTTCTTCCAAAAACTTAACTCTTTATGCTAATATTCTCTCTGTGATTCAGTTTCTTCAGTTATAAAGGATGATCTTAACCGAGTTACTGTGAAGATTCAATTAGCAAAACACCCCAAACCAGCCTTATTCACAGTAAACTACCTGCCACTGCTGTTGAGTGAATTCTTACACATAGTGAATCTACGTAGGGTTTCCGAGGCTATAAACTTTGGGGGCAGCTGGTGGATACAGGCTGCGGACCTTGTGGTTAGCAGCCCAACCCATAACCCACTCTGCCATTATCCGTTGTTCCCAGTCAGTACCCTTGAATTTTAGAGACCAGTAGTGAGGAGTCTAGGTGGCACCATGAGTAAGCAGCTTGTCTGATGACCCAAAGGTGGACAGTTCAAATCTGTTGTCTATTCCAAGAAAGAGGTGGCATTCTCCTTCCATAGCAATTTACAACTTACCTAATAGGGCAGTTCTACTCAGTCCTACAGGGCCACTGTTGCTGTTAAGTGTTGTCGAGTCTGTTCCAACGTACAGCAATCATGTCTAGGCTTTCCATAGGAGTGGCTGGTGGGTTTGAACCACACTACCTTGTGGCTCGCAGGCCAGCGCTTTTCCTAGAGCGCCACACCAGGACTGTAGAGTTAGAATGGACTCAGTAGCAGTGGGTTAGTAGTGTGGTGTTTAGTGGAGTGTCTGTGTTACATAGAATAAGAGGGGAGTCCTGGTGTGGCACTGTAGGATCAGCACTGGACTGCTAACCACAAGGTTGGTGGTTTCAACCCACCAGCTACTCCTTGGAGATCCTATGCAGGGTCAGTGTGAGTCAGAACTGACTTGATGGTACTTAACAACAAGGACAACCGATTTCTTTCTTTCCCCTTCAGTTTTTGAACTTGGAAAGGACATGCTGTTGTGATGTAAAGATGACTACTAGTAGATTTGTTGATTGATTTGTATGTTTTCCTCATTATAAACATTTCTACCTATCTGTGATCTGAGGGCGTGCATACGAGAGTGGAGATTTTAGTTGGACTTTAATAATCCTTATGTGTATTTTCAATAATTGGCTTTGAAGTCACCCTTCTTCAATCATTTAATAAACATAGAGAGGTCCTTTCTCAGTGCAGAGCCTTGCAAGTGGCCAGGGTCTTAGCAACGTTACATTTTAGAGAAAAAAAGTGATATTACCCTCCGGGACCTTAATGACCCCTGATGTAATGAAGATCTTGTTTGCTGTTCCTGTTGCATGTGGAATAGTGTCTATACTACATGACCAGTCATTTGAATGAGTGAACCCCGAGAATAAAACTGGGTAAGTGAGAATTCATTTCTTACGCAGATGATCTGTATACATGCCATGATGGTTTGTGATTTGATTTTTTTCTTATAAAAGTAAACAAAAGCTCTTTAGAAATTTTTAACATTATTTTTAAATATCCAGGAAAAGAGCAGGCTTATTCTAGACTTTTTTTAAATTGCATATATGTTTAGGGGAAATTATTAAGTTGTGGTTTTTTTGTTTTTGTTCTTTAACTCTTGTAGAATATTTTTTAAAAGAGCAGATGTAATTGTGCAGCTTGATGGATTTTCACAAATTGAATATACCCATCTAATCAACACCCAAATTAACAAAAAGAAAAGTCCCCAAAAGTATATGCACAATGGAAGGAAATGCTGCCGGAGCCTGTCCCAGTGCTGTGATCCATTGAGAGCCATGATCCAGTGACTGTTGTAGGTTATCGGTTTGTTTTTCTTTTTAACTTCAGTTTTGCACTTAACTAAACATATTTTGTTTCATTCTAGTGATTATCATCCCCTTCATGCACCATCAGTTAACAGTATTTGCCTCTATTCCCTCTTTTTTTGATAAACACAAAAACACACAGGAGTATATAATCAATTTAAACAACCAACGGGCACATTTTGAAAGCCTGCCTCCTGCCCACTGGCACAGTCTTTCTCTTTCCATGAGTCTAATCCTCAGCTGCTCACTGTCTTCATGTCCTCATCTCTGCCTCTGTCTCGGGTGTCCCTGCTTCTCTGGTTAGGATCCACATTCTGCTCTTGATGGTCCCAGGGTCCTGTGCTCCTGGAATGTAAAATTAATTGCTCCCCCCTTTTTGTT